CACTGTTTAATGACTGAGTAGGGTGTATTGTTAATGTTGTTTTATTATTGTTTACAAATGGTTCAAATAAAAGTATAAGAAAAAAGACGAACGACCTTTGTTTGCCAAGACAAACTCTCTGCTCCACAGAACAACTTTAGTAACCTAACGGTGTTCCTTTGGTTCATATATGTTAAGTATCTTCTAAATTGAACTTGCGTGTATTATAAGCTGTAACCTTATAGTCATTCTCTCGAGTGACATGCAGTTAATTACACAGATATAATACAGTTTGTAATGGCAGTTTTTTTAGTAACGTCGTTGAACTTCTGTGTTAATGGTAACAATTACTCCATCTAGCGGTTGAATAGTTTGAGGGCTAGAAATTGTAACAACAATATTTGTGATTCATATGATGTTAATATTTCAACTAATGAATAATTATTCTAAACAATAGCGTACAAATAACAATGTTTATGTCAAAATATGCATTATACACAGAAAGTGACTATCTGCATATTAATAACTAGGAAATACCCTGTCGTAGCATCTAAACTGAATAAAATATGACATTTCCACATCTGTACGGTTTGAAGTAGGAAAGGAAATACGGCATTTGGTGCAGATTTTTCGTAAAACTAGCTACCGCAAAATTTCAAGAATTCTCTATTTCCGACACTTCCGGAACATAATGACGTCAGTAGAGCTTTATTTTCGATTGAAACCAGTTAAAGCTGGAATACTGTTACTACTTTACATTAGCGTATCATTTGTTGTTGTTTTTTATATCAAAATAATTTCATAATTATATTAGGTATTCTGAATTTCTTATATAGTAAGTATCTTAATTCTAGTTTTATGTGTTTACCAATATTTCCTTGACATTATTTCCATACTTGAATTTATGTACTTGATTATTTAAAAGAGATACCGGTTGTTGCCTAGTATGTGGTGTGCCCAGGCTGTAAATCCCTAATTTGCTTCCTTTTGCCGCACCTGAAGCTCGTGGCTGCGTTATAAGAGTGACGGTCAAAGTTCACTATTCGGTCAGACAAGAGCAAGTTCAAAATTAGGAAGGGTTATGTGCAGATAACCCTTGCATAGCTTTGCAAAAAAATTCTGCAATAAACAAACAAACAGCCACAACAAAGTTTGAAAGATTGATTGTTTGTTTGTTTTGAATTTCGCGCAAAGCTACACGAGGGCTATCTGCCCTAGAGGTCCCTAATTTAGCAGTGTAAGACTAGAGGGAAGGCAGCTAGTCATCACCACCCACCGCCAACTCTTGAGCTACTCTTTTACCAACGACCGCTACGTAATAACGCCCCCACGGCTGAAAGGGTGAGCATGTTTGGTGTGACGGGGATTCGAACCCGCGACCTGCAGATTGTGAGCCGAGCGTCCAAATTATCTGGCCATGCCGGGCCTATGGTTTGGAATATCAGTATTGTCCGTTTTCATGAACGGGCCACGCTCAATCTCGTTTTCCTTCAAACATTTAGTAATCAATGAAGGGATGACAAGAAATCCTGTCAAGAACGGTCCTCTAATTTTAGAAATTAAATTTTTATGTCGCAGAAGCTTATTTTCAGGGCCAGATTACCCATTAGGCTAGGTAGGCACGTGCCTATGGCCCCCACCTGGAAGGGAGCCCCCAAGCAGCCAAGAAAAAAGGTAAATAAACAAATAATAAAAAATAATAAATACATAAATAATAAATAAAATAAACAGATAAGTAATGTGAATAATACACATAGAATGATAAAAATAAAAAATCGTACATATGTAATGAAAGTTTACAAACTGAAGGTATGTCTAATCCTATATATAGGGAGCCCCACCATCACATACATGATTATACAGAATAACATTTTGAAAAAATATATTGAAGTATGAAAAATTTGTGGACCTGAAGGAATTGATCAGATACATCCTGTGCAAATCATGGGAAAGGGGTCCCTAATGATAAAGAAAGATGCAATAAACAAACCCATGTATAGCAAATATATGTATATTACCCTATATGAAAATTGGAGAGAGAGGGGAGAGTCTTGGTTAACATGATATCCCTAATTTTAATTTATTTTTTATCACAAGGCTTTGGTTATTTTCAAAATGTAATTTAGTGAACGTCTAGTGGACGCTTCAACTGTCTATGAAACTACGTGTATTCTTGATAACGTACCAGGTTTTAGTGTTTTTCTTTATACA